ATGCAGCTTTGGGAGATTCTTGCCCCGAACGGGTTATGGCCCCAACCTCAAGGGAAAGCAGACGGGTTTGTGTGTGGACAGAGACGGGGAAACTGCTACATTTCCTTTTTCTTCTCATTCTGCCCAGCAGCCCCAAGGGCGAAGAGTGCAGTGGTTACAACAAACCCGCTCTTAGCTCTTATCGCTGATTGGGAGGTAGAGTGAACTTTATCGTATGGGGGTCTTCCCTAAGGAGGCCCTCACACCTGTTCAGACCTGTGTCCACCCCAATGGTGAGGCTTTTTATGCATTGTTACTGGTCACCATATGTGAGTTTCAATGAAAGGACAGGGGCACGCTGGACTCGAGTGTTCAGTGGCCGAGAGATGGACAAAGGACTGGGGAAATGAAGAAATAGGGCCCCAGGCTGGTCGGTAGTCAGTTTATTTCTCTCTCTCTCTCCACCCCCCCCCCCCCCCATCGTAGTCTGATCTCTCTCCTTAGTCTAGTTTTGGTCGTAGTGCCAGTCATCATACTCCCTCTTCCTCGCCTCTTCATTATATCACCTCTCTCCCCTTTCAGCATACTTAATAGAAATCATGAAGGGTGAGGTACACTAGGTGGTGTTGACCATTTTCATAACAACAAACAGAGGTAAAGCCACTCGTTCAGGGGAAGTTCTAGGAGATTAACTCAAGGACAAACTCATCTGAGGGATCAGCACTCCAGATTACTAGGCGATCCGCTCAAAGGGCGGGATTCCATCCAGGGTGCCTTGCTTTCTCCTTTCCTCAGCTAGTAATCCATTTAAACGATCATAGTGAATTTACTTCTTATAATATTTTTAGTCATTTTGTATGAACACAGTAAGAGATATATTAAGGTTAAAGATTGGCTCTTCCTGGGGACGTCTCGCTATATATTCCAGACCACAGTCGTCAGGCGAAGTTAGTCTTTCCTAACCCCAGCAGGGTCCTGATTCAGTTACTTCTTTTTGAGTCATGACAGAGTTTGTTCCACGACCATGCTCTTAACTTATATGTATGTTGCTTAGCTTGTCCCCTTTTCAATGCCTGGGTTGCTTGCCCTGGGTCCATCCAGTCCCTTCGTCGGGACCCTCCTTCTGGGGGTGTTAGGAAGTAAAGGCAACTGAAGCTTAAGTCAGATTAATATGATGGATGCCAGGGGTAAATGCTATTTGAAGTCAATTATTAACTCATGTTGCAAAAGCATAGCATCAACTCTCTTCCTGTGTCTATGCAAAAAGGACATTGCTAAATAAACCATGCAAATGACACAAAGGAACGAGAAAAGCAATATCGGATTATTAGTGCTTGATGGAATTGGGTGTGCCTCAGGGGCACTGTTGTGGGAGTAATTCAATAAAACTAAGCTTCCTTTGGGAGGAGCAAGGATAACCCAATGTTATCCAATAACCGTAGCCCTGTACAGCGTGGCTAAAGTACCCAAAGCTGGACTTGGAAACTTTTGTCACTCTCCCACAGCCTCAGATGACAGTACAGGATAGTCACAGAGAGTCCGTGGTTGCATCTCTCTTCTAATGAAGAGTAGTGAATTTATTTTTCATTTTATTTATTTGGCTTTTGGGGTCACACCCAGTGATGCTCGGGGGTTCCTTCTGGCTCTGCACTCAGGAATTATTTCCGACGGTGTTCGGGGGATCATATGGGATGCCGGGGATTGAACCCAGGTCGGCCGTGTGCAAGGCAAACGCCCTCCCACGGTACTATCGCTCCAACCCCAATAGTAGTGAACTTAGGTGCATAGTGAAATGTGGATTAGCAATTGTGAAAGGGTCAAGACTTCTTACTCCCGGTCTCTCAGTTCACCCAGGAGTGACATGCTCCTTTCCAAGGTAAAGTGTGGAGGAACTCACACCCTGGGCGGAGCACAAGCAGACTCCTCGCCTTCCACGCGTCACGGGGCAAACCTGAGAAATAACATTTAGCAATGTGTAAACTGTCACGGTGAGGCGAGCACAAGTGACGTGGTTGTGTCCTTGTGGCACTTGCTGCTCTTCCTGTCACTCCTCAGACTCTCCCGTGGAGATTGCAACCCCACCCGCCTCATCTGCTCTCTTCACATCACCCCCGTTAGCAGTGTGGGTGATACCACCCCTTGGGGGCATGGAATGACCCGGGGGTCCTATGAGCTTCGGCTGCAATTGGAAGGTGCTTTCTGTTTGTTCTCTTCAAAATGGTCCATTTCCAGGAGGTTGCTAAGTAATTTGGTGGTGATGGTGGTGGTGGTTGTTGTTGTTGAAAAGGGGGCAGATAAGTTTGGAAACCTCTGCTTTATGCTGTAGTCACCTCTAACGTTCTATATCCTCTATATCCGATGGCACCAAAGCAAATAGACATTGGGTAGGGCACCTGCCTTGCATGTAGCCAACTGAGGTTTAGTCCCTGGCACCCATAAGGTCCCCTGAGCCCACCAGGAGTGATCCCTGGGTACAGAGACAGAATTCAACCCTGACCACTGCCAGGTGTGGCCTAAAAACTAAAAAATTCTGTGTCAGGGAGGAGGGCTCAAAGTGATAGCACAGGTGCATGGCGCTTGCCTGACATACAGCTGGCCCTCATCTGATCCCTGATACCACGTGTCGTCCTCTGAGCACAGGGTCAAGAGCAAGCCTTGAGTGCTGCTGATATGATGTGACCCAAACCTGTTTCTTCGGGATCGGAGAGATAGTCCAGTGGGTAGGGCACTTGTTTTGCTCATGGCTGACCTGGATTTGAGTCCCGGCACTCCATATAGTCCCCTGAGCCCTGCCAGGAATGATTCCTGATTCCTGAGCACGGGACAAGGAGTAAACCCTGAGCATCACCAGGTATGGCCTCAAAGCAGAACAAAACAGCTGTATCTCGGGCCTCAGAAATGCTCAAGGGATTGAGCACAGACGTTGCGTGTGGGAGCCTGGGTTCAGTTCCATGGCACTGCATAGTCCCCACTCCAAGAACGACCCCTGTCGGGAACCATCCCTGATCTGGGATTCACCCCTGACACCCAAAGAGCAAAAGTGAAAAACTAAATGAACGCACGACACTGGTGAGGAACAGGAGAGAGAAAACGGGGCTGAATTCTTGCCTTGTGCAGGGCTAAGCCCACGTCAAACCCACCCCCGCCACCCTCATCCCCCACATGTGTGGTCCATCCGTCCGTCCCGTCCCCCAGGGGTCCAGGTGCATCTTCAGCCTGGCACCCTGGCACCACTGTGCCCTGGTCCCTCCGCCACACACCTCAGCGAGTTTCCCAGCTGCGGCCCCGCCCTGCTTGATAAGGGTGGAATTGCAGCTCATGAAACCAGTTCTTTATCATCTAGGACATCTGATTTCTACCTGGAAGGCCAGTCGACGTTGTTTCGGGGTTTTTTTGTTTTGTTTGGCGTGGGGGCGGGGGGTTGGGGGGGCACAGCCAGCAGTGCTCAAGGGCTTACTCCTGCCTCTGCCCTTAGGAATTCGGGGGATCGTGTGGGGTGCTGGGGATTGAACGCAGGCTGGCGCGCACCCTCCCCACTGTCCTGTCACCCTGGCCCAGTTTCGGTTATTTCTGTGTCTCCTCCCCCTTGGCCTCGAACCCCGTACAGGCAGGGGCTGAGCCGCTCGGCCTTGCCTTGCCACATCTGCCACCACTTCTGGCCCACAGAGGCAGGGTACTGAGCGATGGGCTTGCAAAATTTAGAGGATTTTTCCTCACTTTGTTCGGTGAACAGCGAAGCAGGTCACTCCCTTGGTGCTGGGAACAGAGGGGACCTGGGCGCCAGCGGTCAACCCCAGGCCGCCTGCGTGAGAGCATATACTCCAACCTCTTGCACCCTCCCCAGCCCCCTCTCTTGCCCCGAGGCTCTCCTACACTCCTGTTTTACGATAAGTAGCTATAGATAAGACACATTTAATTATTTGGGGGCAGGGGGGTACACGTGATGGAGATCGGTGTGGTGCTCAGGGGCCACTCCCACCCATGCATTTTGGGGGACCATGGCGGTGCTGGGGGTCTGACATGGGGCTCTCGGTGCTGCAGCCCTTCATCCCCATTCCCCAAGCCCCAGAGAAATTTGTTTGTTTGGGGGCCCCACCCGGTGATGCTCAGGGGTTCCTCGTGGCTCTGCACTCAGGAATTACCCTTCTTCAGTGCACGGGGAACCATATGGGATGCCAGGCTCAAACCCGGGTCAACCACGTGCAATGCAAACACTCTACCTGCTGTACAATTGCTCCCACCCTGCCCCAGACAAATTTCAAGGGAAAAGTTAAATTGACTCCAAAGAGGGAAAATAATAGGAATAAAAGAGGTATATCTCTACTAGTGCTTTTTTTTTTTAGGGACACACCTGGAGGTGTGTTTGGGGACCATGCAGTATCGGGGGTCACACGCAAAACACCTTTGCGCTCTCTCCCCAGCCCTTAACAGCATTATTATCTTGGATTTTTTTTGGGGGGAGGTCACACCCAGCAATGCTCAGGGGTCACTCCTGGCTCTGCACTCAGGAACCACTACCAGCAGTGCTCAGGGGACCATATGGTATGCTGGGAATCAAACCCGAATCAGCCACATGCAAGACAAATGCCCTACCCACTGTGCTAACGCTCCAGCCCCTATCTTGGGTTCTTTTTGGGAGAAAGAGAATCAGACTCAGCGGCTTCAGGCCTTTCTCCTTTCTCTACACTCAGGAATCACTCCTGGGAGGCTTAGGGAACCATATGGGGTGCCAAGAATTTAACTCAGGTTGGCTGCATGCAAGGTGAGTGCCCTTGCCACTGCGCTATCTCTCCAGCTTCTTTATCTTGCGTTCTGATGCAGAAATCCGATCAGTTTTCAACTCTGACAACATACCCATGACCCGAGCTAATGAGGACCTTAGTCAAGTACCTGCCTGGAAAGCCCACCCAAGAGGGTTAGAGTGGGGGGCTGCTCCGGGATTGAGTGATGTCTGGGGTGGACTCGGCTGCGAGGCCATTTAGTTTCGTCTCCAGCAGCTAAATCTCTCCTTCTCTCCGCAGGGAAACAGCTGGAAGGCATCTGGTAAGTTGCTGGATCTCCTTCCGGAGGGTGACCCTCTGCTTTCAGGGCCCAGCCAGTTGCTCGAACTCTGGCTCTATCAGAAAGCTTCAAGCTCTCCACCAGGTCCATGCTAACTCCTGTCCCCAGGGGGGCATTTGGCAGTGTCTCTGACATCTGGTCGGGGGTCTGGGGTGCCATTGCAAAGATGATCCCCGGCATCCCATATGGTCCCCCAAGCACCGTCAGGAATAATTCCTGCGTGCAAAGCCAGGAGTAACCCCTGAGCATCACTGGGTGTGACCCAAAAAGCAAAAAAAAAAAAAAAAATTGAGAGACCCAGCCCTAAAGAGAGGCAGGTGGTGCCCTGGCGACTCCCACCTCAGCCCACACTGTCTTAAAGACGCCCGCCGGGGATTGTCAGCCCTGCCAGACCCCCATGGCTGAGCCCTTATCTCTTTTCCTGAGCAACCCTCGGGCAGCTTCTATCTGAGCCTGCTGGTATGTGGGCGGCCCAGACGCCCTGTGCTGTGTTGGGCTGAAACCACGAGCACCTTTCCCTGACTCAGGACTTACATGCTGTGCTCTTGGGGCTCCCTCCGCGGGGTCCAGGCCAATGCTCCTGTCTTGGGGACGTCGGCATGCCCCACAAAGCGTTATTTCAGTAACTGACTTTCAGTGCCAGGATGAACCTCTGGCCCTGACATGCCCCTCTGCTCCGTGGTGGCGACCAGACACCACCCACAGGGGTTTGATTGCCACTACTGCCGGGTGCAGTTGCGGGCCTCTAGAGAGTCAGCGCCCCGGGTGCTGCAGAATGGCCTAGAACGCACAGGCAGCCCCCCAGAAACTTCCCAGCCCAGCATTGCCCCAGCTGAGAACCTCTCCTCTCCAGTCCTGGTCTTTTATTGTTTTTGTCTTTTTGGGGTCATACCCGGCGATGCTCAGGGGTTCCTCCTGGCTCTGCACTCAGGAATCACTCCTGGTGGTGCTCAGGTGACCCTGTGAGATGCTGGGGATTGAACCCGGGTTGGCCGCGTAGAAGGCAAACACCCACCCCACTGAACTGTCACTCCGGCCCCTCCAGTCCTGGTCTTACTCCGACCTTTTGCTTGGCTTTCTGAGACTAGAGCACCGGGTCCTGGGGGCAGTGCCCTGAGTGCAGCCCCACCCGTGTGGCTGACCCCTTCCGCTTTGCAGGCACACCTCCATAGTCGTGCACAAGGATGAATTCTTCTTCGGCAGTGGCGGGATCTCCAGCTGTCCCCCGGTGAGTGTCTCCCCGACACCCCGAAAGCACCCTCGTGTCCTGGCCCTGTGCTTCGGAAGCACCTAGGGCTCGTCTCAAGAAACCCTCCCACATACACGCCCACCAGTTTCCCTCTGGTCTGCCACGCTGGCATAGTGTGGGGATGGGAGTAGTGGTCCCGGGTCCCCCCCAGGAAGGGTTCCCGGAGGCTAAGACAGCGTCCTCATCCTCTGGCGCCATCACCAACTCAGCTCTGTGCCCTGCTCCTAGGTGCCAGGTCGGTCAAGGTGAAGGGGATGGCAGGGGCGCTGTGAGCTGAAGGGGTGCCCTGGGTCCCGGCCAGGAGGACACGTTGCAGATCTCAGGCCTGACCTGAGCAGGGCCATGTGCAGGCCGCAGGCAGAAGGCAAACGAGCTCCCTCTGCGTCACATTCACGGGGAGACTGTCTCGATTCCTCTCTCTCGCCACCCCATCCCAGAATCCTTGACCAAAGCCACTGCCTCTGCCGCATGCCCGCGCCCCTAATCCACTTTGTCTCCCATCATCTCTGCCCCCTTCTACAACACATGCCCCTGAATCCAGGTCGCTGTCTGGCCGGGAACAAACCTCCGTTTGGAAAAGTGGATGTTTCAGAACAAGGCCCTGTTCATGGCGTTCCCCTGCCAAGGCCTGAGGCCCTCCCGTCCTGGGAGGGGAACCCCAAAAGCTCCACGTGGCTCCCCAGGCCTGGTCTGGCCTGGTCTCAGGCTGAGCCCCTCGCCCACACCATCTTCTCAGCCTTGAACACTCCCTGGTCTCAGCGGCCCCCGGGTCCAGGCTGCAGGAGGCTGAGCCCACTGTCACTTCCTCGACCATATTTCCCTGAGCTGGGAAGGTCCCATGTCCCACGTCCTGAGAGCATTCTGTCCTTTTCCAGCAAGACTCTTGTCACCACTGATGGTTCTAGGCTGTGTCCCGTCAGCCTGACCCCTGCCCGGGACGCTCCCTGAGGGCAGGAATCGCATGCCGCTTCCCCGGGTGCGGGGCCAGAGCAGGGGACATTTTCAGCACCTGCCTATCTGGGGGTGAGTCCCAGGAGCCTGAAGAGTGACCGCTATGTGTCTTACAATTCGGAGATGGTCCCTCCGACGGCTGTCACCGCCCTGCTCACAGGCGGCCCCTGTCCGGCCCCGCACCAGCAGTCAGTACTCCGGAGTGATTGTGAGAGTCAGTGACCTTTGTGGCAGGGAGCTCTGCTCGGGAATGTTCTCCGTGGCTGGCTCAGATGGTGATTTCCAAGCATCATCCGGGGCGGGCGGGCAGGAGAGAGCGGGCAGCCCTGGCTCGCTGCGGCTGCGGGCCTCGATTTCCCCACCTGGGCTGCCTCGCGCTGGCCTTAGCGTCGCCTCCCAGGTGGAAGCAGTAACCGCGCCATGGATGTGTGCCAGCCGGCCAGCTTTCTCCCACCCTTCGCCTTCCCCCATGGTTACGGCCTGGCTACGGTGTCCCCACACCAACTACCGTGGAACATGAAGCGCCCTGCCTGGTGGGAGCCACTTCTAGGTGTCACTGGGGACAGAGGCACGAGATCTGGGGTTTCTCTCTTATTTTTTGGCTGCCTGAGTGGACGCAGGAGGCGCCGCTGGTGCCGTCCACCCATCCAGTCTCCAGGCTCAGGACCGGCTCTGCCCACATGTGTCCGCGGCCCTCCGGGGGGAGCCACCTACCTGCCGAAGGCCAGCGGGGTCAGTGATCTAATGACTTTCTTTGGGTTGGCTCTTTTAGGGAGGGACATTGCTTGGGCCCCCTGACTCTGTGGTTGATGTGGGGAGCACAGAAGTCACCGAAGAAATCTTTTTGGAGTACCTGTCCTCCCTGGGGGAGTCTCTGTTCCGGTGAGTGGAGACAGGGTTGGCGGTTCATCATGTCTGTCTCCCCCACTAGAAAACAGGCCCTGGAGGCCAGACACTGGACACAACCCCGGGCACCCCCACCAGTTGCAGAGAGAGCAGGACTCGGGCCCCCAAAGCGCGGGGTTGCTCCCGGGCCAACACCCCATGCCGGCTCCTGACTAGAGTCAGCGGCTGCCGGGGCCGGAGCAGTAGGACAGCGGGCAGGGTGTTGGCCTCGGACATGGCTGACCCTGGTTTGATCCCCGGCACCCACCGTGGTCCCTCAGCATCACCAGGAGTGATCCCCTTGAGCACTGCCCCATGTCGGGGGGGAGTGTGCCCCAAGATAAATTCTAGAATTTAAGTCTGCCGCTGTTGGGCAGAGCTACGCTGCACACTTTCTCGCGAGCTACATTGTCCTCACACTCAAAACCAGGCAGGTAGAGGGGCTGGGGCTTCACCCCAGCCGGAACAGATTTTCTCTTAAAGAAAAAAAAAGGGGCTGGAGCGATATCACAGCGGACAGAGCGTTTGCCTTGTACGCGGCCAACCTGTATTCAATCCCCAGCATCCCATAGGGTCCCCTGAGCACCACCGCCAGGAGTGATTCCTGAGTGAAGAGCCAGGAGTAATCCCTGTGCATCGCAGGGTGTGACCCAGAAAGCAAAAAAAAAAAAAAAATGTCGCTCCAGCCCTCAAGCCCCGCTCGGGTGGCTGCAAAGGCCCGGGACTGTCGAGGAACGGCATGTCTCGTCTGTCAGCCCTGAGCAAGCTGGTTTGGCTTCGGTGCTGGGGGCGTGGGCTCTCGCCGTGCCGGGCGGCCGTGACACCGGCCTTTCGCAGTGGCCATGACACCTGCTGCCCTCTCAGCCCTGGCACCTCTCTCGCCCCGACAGAGGGGAAGCCTACAACCTCTTTGAACACAACTGTAACACCTTCAGCAATGAAGTGGCCCAGTTCCTGACCGGGCGGAAGATCCCTTCCTACATCACCGACCTTCCCTCAGAAGTTCTGTCCACGTAAGTGACCTCCCTCTGCCTCTCCTGCGCCCCCCGCCCCCAGGACCTGAGCAGGGCGCCTTCCGCTCCCCCGAGAAGGACCACTGCACCAGCTCAGAGCGCACCTGCCAGGCTTTAGTCCACTGGACGCTGGTTCAGGACTGATCCTGCATCCTGGACCCCCCGGCCATTTCTGCCCACTGCCCAGGAATTGTGCTGTTCAGCAGTGCCCATTTGAAAGCCAGTTTCAGACTGATGGCCCTGGAGGACAGTCGACCCTCCCTGGGACATGCTTCTCCCGCCCCAACGGGATCCCAGCCGTGTCAGCCAGAAGTCAGGCCGCCTCACCACCACCACCACCCCCCCATCCCCTGGCCATAGGCTGCCTCTGACCCAGTTTTTCCTGAGCGCGGGCCCTGTGCAGCATTCCCAGCAAGGTGTGCTGGGCTCAGCCCGCACAGGACAGAATTACCAGGAAGGAGCCCCAGGTGCACGGTAAGTCCCTCAGCATCACAGAAGGACCTCGGCCGTGGCCCCAAGCCGTCCCCCATGGCTCCGTGTCGGCTCTGTTTTTATACGCCAGCTGGCCTTCCTGGACTTTTGTTTGAATTGGGTGATACTTCTTGGTCTCATCTGTTCGTTCACAAGGAGAAGCACTGCATTCCCTTCAAACTTGGGGACCGCTTTCCAGAGTGGCAGCGGCTGGGCTGTGCTGTGGGCGGCCTCCAAGTTCACAGTGTCCTGTGAACCTTAGAAAGTAGCTTCTGGGACCCAAGCGATAGGGCAGTGGGGAGGGCACTGGCCTTGCATGCCCAACCTGGGTTCCATCCCCAGCACCCCGTAGGGTCCCCTGAGCCTACCAAGAGTGATCCCTGAGCACAGAGTGAGGAGTCAACTCCAGGGTGTGGCCCCAAAAACTTGTTTTAAAAGGAAGGAAGTAGGGACTCGAGCAATAGCATAGTGGGTAGGGCGTTTGCCTCGCACATGGCCGACCCAAGTTCAATTCCCAGCGTCCCATAGGATCCCTCAGCCACCACCAGGAGTAATTCTTGAGTGCAGAGCCAGAAGTAACCCCTTCACCGGTGACCCAAAAAGCAAAAAAAAAAAACCACTAAAATAAAAGGAAGGGAGTGGTGTCGTGGTGTCTCAGGGCCAGAGAGCTGGCAGACAGGGAGCTCGTCTCACATGCTGCTGACCCTGGTGTGGATCCCTGAGCAGCACCACGTGTGGCCCCAGAACCAAAGGAAAGAGCAAGTGGGCAAGTGATGGTTTCAAGGGGCCAGAACAGTAGCACAGTGAGTAGGGCATTTGTTTCGGACACAGCTGACCTGGGTTCCATCCCCGGAATCCCATAAGCACCCCCTTCCTCACGAGCACCGCCCGGAGTAACCCCTGAGTGTGGTCTCAGACCCGAAAAACATCAGTAAAAACTGCTGCTAGGGACTGGAGAGGAATCAGGGCTTAAGGCCAAGCCCGCTTCTATTCCCAGCACTGCCTGGGCCCCAAGCGCCTCGGGGTGTAGCCAGGCCCCAGACCCTACGCCTCCCCCCAGTAATGAAGCCCAGCTGACCAGGAGCCAGAGGCAACAGGTTTAAGATGGGGCGACAGGGCGGCCGAGATGCAGTGTCCACATGAGGGGACAGCACCCAAGCGGGGGGAGGATTATTGCGCCGTGCGCCCTCTGGGCCCACCCCATCCCTGGTCGCTTCTCTCTACAGGCCCTTCGGACAGGCGCTGCGGCCGTTCCTGGACTCCGTCCAGATCCAGCCTCCCGGGGCGAGCACCATGGGCCGGCCCAACGGTCAGAGCTAACGGGACTGCGGGGACCGCCTGCCTCTCCAGGGCTTTGCGTTTTTAAACAAAACAAACCCTATCAGATTTCTATTTTATAATTTTACATCAGAGCTAGCCATCAGGGGGCGGCTTTCTAACGTTCCCAAGAGGGAGAGCCCGTCGGGCCGCTGCCGAGGCAGCACGCGGCCCCCCTCCCCCCCGAATAGCATTATACTAATTTATTAAGGCTGTCTTGTCTGTGCGTTCACTTCTGACGCTGCTTCCTGAGCATCCTCCGCTCTGGAGACAGGGAGGCGGGTGGGTGAAGCAGAAAAAGAAAAAGAGGCACGGTCTGGGGCTTCCCCAAACCAGACCCACTCGCCACTGAGGGACCCAGGTGAGTCTGACAACATCCATGACCCAGAAGCGGTTCCTCCCGCATTCACGGAACCAAAGGACGTGGGACCCGGGATGACTGGACCCAGCCCGAGGGCTTTGGCTTTCCCTCCTGACCCCACCACGCCACGGGGCCAGGCCTGTGTCATCGCCCCAGAAGAGTGCCAGCAGTCGGGCCCGAAGGGACAGGATAAAGCCATTCGTCCTCCCACCCAGACCGGTTGCCGACCCTCTGACGCCTGCGCTGGTGCCTCGAGTGCTCCCGCCGAGTGGCATGGCCGGCCTGTCCTGGTCGCAGTTGGTAGCTCGGCCCCCAACCCCACCCTCGTCATTGTGCTTTAATCAGGCAGGGACGCCCTGCTCCAGGGTGATGCCCCTGATGCGACGAGAAAACGCGGAATCGGGATGACCTGGAACCTCACGTCGTTTCTGAGAGGAGGAAACGTGTTTTGAAGGGACCCGGCGTCCCCCTGCCGTTCTGAAGCATGGCGGGACTGTGTGGGCCTTTCCCTAAAGTGCTTCCTCCAGGGGCTGCGGGGCAGAGAATAAGTTTCTTATCCAGCCAGGCTTTCAGATGACCCCACCCCCCCCTCCACGAGTTGGGGGGAGGTGAGAAGGGGGGCAGGCTCTGAGCTGCTCCCTAGAGGCCCGGCCAGGGCACTTGTTATTCTGCCTTAGCCTGTGACTGTCCCCGAACAGCCTGTGGTGATGCCAAATGACATTTGGGAACTTGGGAGGATTGGAGGCCATGCCATCAAGCCATTGAGTCCCTCCCTAGACCTACCAGTTTGCCAGTGTTCCGAGAGAGGAGAGACTGGGCCGGGGGCTGTACTTGGACATGGCTTCACTGCCTCCCAGGCCCCGTGGCCAGCAGGCAGCACCCCCAGACCAGGGCTCTGAGTGGTGTGGTTGGCGAGGCGGGTCAGTGAGCCTCTTCCCAGAGTTGAGGAGAGGGCACCCCGGCCCATCCTTCCAGCCCTGCATCCCAGAGCCTCGGGAGAACGCCCCCAGCTGCCTGGCCCCGTGTGAGCCCACGCAGGCGGGCAGGGAGTGAGCCCTGTGTGCGTCACGCTGCAGACGCCCCCACGAAGACCCGCCGTTCCCAGAAATGGCGCTTGTACCTTGGAAACGCTTTTCTGCTCTGGGAGTGGAGCTAGCTACTGTGTTGAGCGCGGAGAGGGTTGCTGGTTTGCTTTGGTGTTTTTTCTAATGCAATAAACTCATTTCTGCCTGTGTCCTGGCCACTTGTGTGGTGCTTAGGAGTCTGGCTTCAATATGAAGCGGCTTCTCAGCTTTGCCCCTCCCAACCAAGCCTAACCTGGCGAGTCTGGATATGCCAGCGTCATGGCAAAGAAGTGATGAGGACTGGGGAGAAAGTCAGTCCCCACTGGTTGTCAAGGCAGGAAAACTCCTGCCCCAGCTGTATGACCCGCTCCAAAGCCAGGGTCCGGTCCCCGCAGTGGGGCACTCCACCAGACACACTGTGTTCCCCAATGGATGTCCACTCCTTACAGCCTCCAGGCCTGATAGCCCAGCGTGGCTGCAGCATCCGCAAATGGGAGATGGTTCCCTGGACAGCAGCGGGAGGAGGCCACATTCTCACCGCCCGAGAACTCGCCATACTGGCAGGAGAACCAATGGGACTGGAGAGATAGTACCGCATTCAATCCCCAGCATCCCATATGGCCCCTTAAGCAGGCCTGGACAGACCTGTCAGAGAAGCCGGAGCACTAGGGCCGAGAGAAAAGAGCACAGCGCTCAGGCACCACATGGTCCTGGAGCGTGGCCCTATCAAGTCCCCCGGCCCTTGTATTGAATTGCTGGGAGGCTTCTTGCGCTTCCTGAGCACCGCTGAGAAGCCTCCTTCCCCAAAAAAGAAGGCATGGGGCTGGAGTGATAGTACAGCGGGGAGGGCGTTTGCCTTACATGCAGCCGACCCAGGTTCAATCTCCGGCAACCCATATGGTCCCCAGAGCACTACCAGGAGCACTACCAGAGCACTACCAGGAGCACTACCAGAGCCAGGAGCAACTCCTGAGCATCCCTGCATGTGACCCAAAAAGCAAAAATAAACAAACGGGCCACAGCAATAGTACAGAGGGTAGGGTTTTGCCTTGCTGGGTGTAACCCCAAAAGCAAAATAAACAAAGCTCAAGAGAAGATAACCGGCACGGTTCCCCAAGGGAGCCTCTGGTAGGCGGCAGCTGCCCATCACAGAGCTGACCCGAAGCAGATGTCCCCACAGGCTGATGCCCATGCCTGTCTCGACCTACGCAAGGGTGAGGCACATCCCTGAGCGCGAGCCCTTCGCCTCAGGGCCTGCCTGCGTTGGAAGGAGGCAGAGTGGAGCCGATGCTGGGCCCAGTTCTGGCTCTGAGACCTCTCAGAGTCTGTTCTGAGTCTGCGGTTCTGAGTCTGATGGTTCCGTGCTGCAGCGGGAGACACAGCCACCAGGTGGCACTGTGGATTCACTTCCCAGGCCGGCACCAAAGTCCATTTGCCTGAGGTACCCCAGGCCTCCGGACCCTACACACAACCGCCAGTGTTGCACAAACAAGCTCTTCTTTCCTTCTGAGCTCTACCCCGCCGTGCTCGGGCCACCAGGGCTGCATCAGGTGGTGGCAGGGCTTGGGTCGGCCTCTGGGCGAGGCATGTACTCGCCCCTCCAGCCATCTCCCCATCCCAGCTGAGCTACTTGTCCTCACAATTCTCCAGGCTCTCCTCCGACTGCCCAGAGGGACCACACCCAGCTAAAAGTTCAACCCACCCCTGCAGGTGGTTTCTACCCGGGCCTCAGTTTACCCGGGATTCCTTCTCACTGAACCTGAGGAACCCCACAGAGGGATAGTACAGTGGGTAGGGCGCATTCCTTGCTCACAACCAACTCGGGTTCAATCCCCAGCATCCTATACGGTCCCCTAAGCACCGCCAGAAGTAATTCCTGAGTGCAAAGCCAGGAGTAACCCTTGAGCACTGCTGGGTATGACCCAAAAAGAAAAAAAAACTAAAAAACAAAATAGAACAGCAGCCTTTCCTCAGGGCTTCGCACCTACCTCCCAGCAATGTCAAGATTTATCTTCCTGCTCCCCAGGGCACTCCACAAGGGCAGGGGCTGGCACAAAGCAGGCTCCACCAGTCCTGGGAAGGGCGGAGAGGCGGAACCCGTCATGATGGCTGTGGTCTCCAACCAACTCAACCCGGAAGCACCCTTGCCCCAGAGACCTTGGCCAAGCCCTTCCCCGCTCTGGGCCTCAGTTTCTTCATCTTGGCATGAAAAGGATGCATTAGGGCTGGAGCGAGCACAGGGATGACGGCGCTTGCCTTGCACGTGGCTGACTTGGATTCTGTCCCCAGCACCAGCAGGAGTGAGCCCTGAGTGCAGCCAGGTGTGGCCCCCCAAACCGAAAAGAAAATGACTTTGGTTGCCTGAAGGCCCCTCCTAGGGGACCCCACTGTTTGACCAGGCTCTGCCCCTTAGGGTTGAACCCAGATTCACAGACATCCCAGACCCCAGTGTTAGGAGACCCCACTTCCTATAACCCCATCCCTGGACACCAGCATGTCGCCCAAGGGACTAACCAACCCGGGAACAGCCCAGCCCTGTCCAGCCCCTCCTCCGAGTCCATCAGGCCCACGCTCTTGTTTATGGTGAGGAACACGAAAGTGACATCAACACCCAGGATTCTGATCAGAGACCTCTAAGGGCCTCCCTCCTCGCCCCCCTTCTCTTCCCGACAGCCCAGGGGAACCCTGGGGGGGACCTTCCCCAGGTCGCAGGCGGGAGAGGCAATTGCTCAGCACACGGCTGATCCAAGTTCGGTTCCCAGCAGCAGGTCGCCCCACAACTGCAAGTACTACCAAGGAGTGAACCATGAACACAGAGCCAGGAGTCTGCTCTAAGCAGCACCGGGCGTGACCCCAAACAAGAACAAAACAAGACAAGAACTGGTGGCACCCCAACTGCACTGTCCCCGGGGTCCGAACTGCCACCCTCCGAAGTCCACAGAGGTCCCCAGACCCAACGTGGACGCTGGCCTGCCAACAGCCAGAGCCCAGGAGGTGGGCTTCGAGGGAAGGGAAGAGATGTGAGCAGAGTCCTGACGATGGGGACGTCCCGGGAACGCGCCTCTGCAGCCCAAAGCAAGGGTACTCACCTCAGGGGCTGTTGGGAGGAGGAAGGAAGCAGCCAAGGTAGGCGGTCTGCTGGCCACACCAAGCATGGCTGCCCGGGTCTGCTCCAGGAGAGTCCAGAATCTTCCCTCCCAAGCAGGATCCTGCCAGGCTGGCGTCTCGCGCGCCCCTAGCATCGGGCTTGCCTCCTCTTGGCGCTCCGTTCTCCTTCTGACCAGTCTGTTCCCCAAGTCCCGCTCCTGGCCCTCCCCAGGGCCACCGGGGCCCAGCTGAGCACCGTTGCCAGGGATGAGGCTCCCTCTTAAAGGGACACACTGGTGGTCACGAGGGCTGCCCGGCCTGCCCCCCTGGGAGCTGTGTCTCAGGCAACTCAAAGGCCCTCTCGGGGGCCCACAGCCTCATCCGAGAGCAAGTTGTGCTGAGAATGCATCAAGGCATAAAGAAGTCAGGGAGGAGATGGGATCATCAGCACCCCCCCCCATTACTGATGCCCAGGGATTTCTGTCTGTGAAAGGTGGGCCCATCCACAGGGGACAGAACCCCGTCCTGTCCAGTGGACTGCATCTGCTTCCAGATCCAGGCGCCACGGGCTCAGGGCCCTACAGCCACAGTTCCTGGGGACCCCTGAGCACCAGCAGGGGTGCAGGAGGCTGATCTGGACGGTCCAGCAGAGTCCGAAGGCTCTGTACCAGCAGGGCCATGGGAGGGGGCGCCCCCACACGCCACTTCTCAGGGACCAGAGCTGGATGGAGCAGGAAGTCAGAAAAGGAGGCCTCTCCCCTCCCACGGAAACGTTTGTGTGGGCCTCTGCCTTGCACATGGAGGGCGAGGCCTTGTTTCCTGCCCGCTGTGGGTTGAAGGAGGGACTCTGGAAAGACAGACAGACCCTCTGCCTCAGGGTGCAACATGGCTCCTTCATGGGCGCCATCAATGACCCTGTCATTTCCACTTTTTTTTTTGAGAGGGGGGCTTTTTTTACTTTGGGGGCCAGACCTCCCGATGCTCAAGGGTTTCTCCTGGCTCTCACTCAGGAATTATTCCTGACAGTGCTCAGAGGACCATATGGGATGCTGGGACTCGAACCCAGGTCGTGGGACCATATGGGATGCTGGAAATCGAACCCAGGTCATGGGACCATATGGGATGCTGGGAATCGAACCCAGGTCGTGGGACCATATGGGATGCTGGGAATCGAACCCAGGTCGTGGGACCATATGGGATGCTGGGAATCAAACCCAGGTCAGCTGCGTGCAAGGTAAATGCCCTCCCCACTGTACTATAGCTCCGGCCCCTCCACTTGTTTTTCTATGAGAAATCTTCCACCTGTCTGAAAATACATAAACTCCAGGGTCTCAAAGACCCCAAATGCGAGGCTATCATAGCCTCTGAGCCCAATGGCTGCCTGGCAAACAGGAATGCGGCTAACAGGCGGAGCTCCCAAATCCGATTTTAAGGCTCTTAAAGCTATAATTCCTCATTCTTGGGCTCTGAAGCCAAAGACTACACATTTTGTTTGTTTTGGCTGCACTCTCAGGCACAGCCCAGATTTGTACCAACTCAGTCACATTTCAGGGTCACGGTCATGGTCCTCCCGTTATGGATTTGCTCAAGCGGGCCCAGTAATGTCTCCATTTTTTTGAGACTTGTTGTTACTGTGTTTGGCATATCGAATACATCACGGGTAGCTTGCCAATCTTTGCCGTGCGAGCAAGATACTCTCGGTAGCTTGCCGGGTTCTCCGAGAGGGGCGGAGGAATCGAACCGGGCTGACTACGCGCAAGGCAAACGCCCTACCACTGTGCTATCGCTCCATTAAACTTGACTCCATGGGCTGGAGCAATAGCACAAAGGGTAGGGCATTTGCCTTGCACGCCAGCCAACCTGGTCGATCTGAGTTCTGTTCCTCCGCCTTCAATTCCTCCGCCCCTCTCGAAGCTACCAAGAGTATCTCGCCCAGACAGCAAAGCCTGGCAAGCTACCCGTGATGTATTCGATATGCCAAACACAGTAACAAGACTCACAATGTTACTGGGCCCGCTCAAGCAAATCAATGAACAATGGGAGGACAGTGAGAGTGACTTTCCTCTATATAATATAGACATTTTTTTCACATTTTAGCATTTCTTATATTTTTTTTTTATTGAATGGGTTATTTATTTATTTTTCTTTTTGGGCCACACCCAGCGATGCTCAGGGGTTACTCCTGGCCCTGTACTCAGGAATTACTCCTTCCTGGAGATGCTCGAGAGACCCTATGGGACACTGGGAATCTAGCCCAGGTCAGCTGTGTGCAAGGCAAACGCCCTATCCACTGTGCTACCACTCCAGCCTTTGAACGGGTTCTTAATGCTAACCCCAATCCCTGGCCCATTTTCCCACTGCTCAGCACATACTGAAGTCAAGCAATATCTATGAGAGATGAGGCTTCCACATCTGGTTTTGAACTACATCTCCTCATTCTTAGGTTTTGAGGCTCCATTGTTTTGTGTTCGGCTCACTCTCAGAGAATCACGTGTGAACTCACATCTCTTTCCTTGAAACCCACCTCCCGGATCCTGGGTGTTGGCAGGCCAGTGTCAACATGTTGCTGAGTGAACAGAGGGGCCTGGGGACCTCTTTTCCCTTCAGAGGGGGCATTTCCAACCATCGGGGGCTGTCAGGAACTCATGTACCAAAAGTGTCCAGGGATTCAAACCACTGCATCTGTAGCACAGGGAAGACAAGCGCCTTGACTTAGAACTAGCACTCCAGTCCCTTGGCTGCATTTGGATTTTATTTGTTTGTTTGGGAGCCCCACGCAGCAGTGCTCAGGGCTTCCTCCTGGTTCTGTGCTCAGGGCTCACTCCTGGCAGGGCTCAGGTACCCGGGTCAGCTGCATGCAAAGCAAGTGCCTTACTGACTGTGCCATCTCTGCAGCCCCACCCATGACCCAGTTTTATTTATTTATTTTGTTTGCTTTTTGGGTCACACCCAGCGTTGCTCAGGGGTTACTCCTGGTTCTGCATTCAGGAATTACTCCTGGCGGTTGCTTGGGAGACCATATGGGATGCTGGGAATCGAACCCAGATCAAGGCAAATGCCCTACCCGCTGTACTATTGCTCCAGCCCCGGACCGCAGTTTTTAAATTAAAACAATTTCCTCCAATCTTTCGCAGGAATCTTTAACTGCCAGACTCTGGTATCCAGCACCCGCACCTGAGGTCTGGTTCCTAGGTAATGACTCTGGAGATGATTCATTTCTTCACACTTAGATTTTTTTTTTTTTTTTTTTTTTGCTTTTTGGGTCACACCTGGCAATGCTCAGGGGTTATTCCTGGCTCTGCACTCAGGAATTACTCCTGGCGGTGCTTGGGGGACCTTATGGGATGCCAGGAATCGAACCCGGGTCAGCCTTGTGCAAGGCAAATGCCCTACCCACTGTACTATAGCTCCAGCCCCTACACTTAGATTTCTGATGTTTGTTTATTATGGATATGGGGAATTAATTTTGGTTTTGATTGTTTGGGGGACCACACCCAGTGATGATAAGGGGCTACTTCCAGCTCAGTGCTGAGGGGGATGGCTCCTACGGAGCTGGAATCATACAGTGGTGGGGCTGGAAGCCAGAGCTCCTATGTGCGAAGCCTGCACTGCAGTCCTTTGGGCCACCTACCTAGCCATTCATCGATTGCCTCGAGCAGGCCCCAGTAACGTCTCCTTCGTCCTAGCCCTGAGATTTTTTTTAAAAGTGCCATATTCAAGGCTCTTTCAGAGTTAGGAGAATGAGACCCTTCATTGTTACTGGTATTTGGCATATTGGGTACGTCATGGGGAGTTTGACAGACTGCTGTGTGGGCAGGTTACATTTGGTAGCCTGCCAGTTTGTCCAAAGTAGGAATGAGATGATAAGATGTCATTAACTTTTTTAATTTTTATTAGGGAAACACCATGAGGTACAGTTGTAGACTTACAAATTTTTGTGCTTGGGTTTCGATTATACAATGATCAAATACCCATCCCTCCACCAGTGGCCATTTTCCACCACCATGGATCCCAGTATCCCTCCTACCCCCATCCCCCCCATCGCACCCTGCCTCTGTGGCAGTGCATTCCCTTTTGTTCTCTCTCTCCTTTTAGGGGTTGTGGTCTGCAAAAGAGGCATTGAGTGGCAATCATGTTCGGTCCATAGTCTACTTTCAACATGCATCTCCCATCCTGGGAGGATCCTCCCAACACCCTTTATTTGGTGCTCCCTTCTCTATCTGAGCTGCCCTTTCCCCTAGAATGCCCGGCTGGCCTCTAAGCCATGGAGTAATCCTCCTAGCCATTAACTTTTGTGGTTGTTTTTTTTGTTTGTTCGTTGGCTTGTTTGGGGCCACACCCAGCAGTGCTCAGGGATCACTCCTGGTGGGTCTTTGGCTGTATGTGGTGCTCCGGATGGGGTCAGCCTATACAAGGCAAGTATATATCTATATGCTTGCTGTACTATATCGCTCGTGCCCCCCTTTCTTTTGACTTTGTTTGGGAGCCACACCTGGAGGTGTACAGGGCTACTCCCAGCTCAGAGCTCAGCGTCACAGTGCTCTAGGGTTGGGGGTAGCCGGGGCTTCACACATGAAAGCAGCTCTAGCCCTTTGGAACCTCCTCCTGGCCCCGAGGAAGGGTTCCCGAAAGAGGCGGACAGTGAACAGGGCTTACGAAAGAGACGGACCGACAGCGAGCAAACGGAGGAAGGGCAGGGAAGGTCACCTGGTCGAATCCAGAGGCCGAGTAAAGGTCATTAAAAGATTCCTATAGCTCATAGGGCAAAGTCCTGACAGCGAGCGAGCGCGGAGGGTGAGTCATAGGCTGAGCGAGGGAGGGCGGGGAGAGCCCGGACCGCACTGCGGCCTGGAAGCTCCTCCCCGTCCCAGCCCCCTCGCCTGACCAATGCAATCAATCTTCTCCCCTCCGGGTCCCACCTTGACCTCATCCCTCTTTTCCGGTTCCCTCCCTCCAAACCCGCCCGACCCAGACTCAGACCCCACCTCCCAGCAGGTTTGGAAAAATCCGACCACAGCGGGCGCGCTCCGGCGCCGCCTCCTGACACGCCTCCTCTCCTCCTGGCCCAATCGGCATCGCTCTCCCGAGCTCGCTGCGGTCCCTCCCGCCCCTTCCGGGCCCCGCCCCGCCCCGCCCAGACCACACCCGGCCACGCCCCTTCCCCCGCCGGCGACTTCAGCCTGCGCGCGGGGCCCCGCCCACCCACGGGCGTGTCCCCTCCAGGCCCCGCCTCCTCCCGCTCCTCCGGGCGCAGCCCCGCGACTCGGCGGCCCGCGCGCCGAGCTGCAGCCATGGCGGTCGCCGCTGAGGGCGCCCGCAGGAAGGAGCGCGTCCTCTGCCTGTTCGACGTGGACGGGACCCTCACGCCGGCCCGCCAGGTAGGGCGAATTCGGGAGCTGCGGTGGGCAATGCCCGGCGGGGCGCCCGCGCCGCCTGCGCTCGGCCACGGGGTGCCCGCGGGGCTGACGTCTCGGTCCCCGGCCCCGCGCGCCCGCCCTCTGCCCCCGGTGCTGCGGGGAGAAGGCTCGGGGTCCCGGCCGACCCCCGGGCTTGCACCTTGCCCCGGCCCAGGCCTCCCCGAGCTCGCGGGGGCGCCCACCCTCGCCCAGCCCGCGGGCGCACCAGTAGCTCGGAGCCGGCGTCGGAGCCCAGGTCTGGGCCGCTTCTGTGCATGTCTCGGGAACCCGGGATGGGGGTCTCGGAGTCTGGCTCAGGGTCGTTTCTTGGGTCCCCCACCCCAGGGTATCGCCTCCACCCTCCCCCAGAGCCCTGATGCTTGCTTGTGACTCCGCCCCCCGCACAGGGATCCTGGGTTGCCGTGGGGATGGGGGACCGGCCGGAGGCTGCTGCAACGCAGGCCTTGGCCCCTCCTTCTTAGGTGGTGAATCCAGAGATTTGGGGGAAAAAAACAAAAAGTGGTGCCCGACTGTTCTGTGCCCGCCCGCGACGCTTTGACGAGCACCCTGGCGTGGGCGACCGTGTCGGGAGCAGCGCAGGCGGGGCTGTGCGCTCCCCGGTCCCCCTGCAGGCTCAGGAGCCCCGCTGGGAGTGACCAGAAACCATCCTCCAGCAGTGCTCCCTCCACGGGAAAAGGGGAAGGTCCGGCTGACTAGGTGGGATGCATGTATGGGACTTTCCACAGCTCTCCCCAGAGCACCCTCCCGTGTGGCCAGGCCCCCAGACGCGGGTGACGTGAAGTCCCAAAGCTCTTTCCCATCCCGTGGCCACCATCCCCGCCGGACAGTATCCGTTTTGACTCTCTGAGTGCTTGACAACGATCTCCTTGGTTTGTGTCTCCCGGTGGGCCGTCTTCTCTGGTCACCAGGTAGTTGCTTGGTGGGGGCCAGGCACTTTGGAGGCACCGACTCCCACTGAAACCTACCAGTGACACCCCTCCCCTCCCAGTGGTTGCTGTGGTCACCCCCATTTTGCAGAAGAGACAGAGGAGGCGATGAAAGCCAAAGCCTGGGCTGGAGGGTCAGCCTGATGGGCTGAGTAGGTGCAAACAGGCAGCCCAGGTGTGAGGACCAGTAACCACACGGCCCCAGAACCAACAATCGGGCTGGAATGGTAGTGCAGTAGCAGGATGGTTGCCTTGCATGCCACTGACGGGGTTCCCCTACACCCCGAACAGTCCCTCCAGGCCCCGCAGGAACCATCTCTGAGCTCATAGCCAGGGAATAAGCCCTGAGCACCGCCGCCAGTGTGGCAACAACAAATAAATAAATAGATGCTTCAAAGCCTTGCGCTGGGTCGTCCTGCTGTTGAGGTTATTTGAGCCAGAGTTGAAGCCAACCCAAGTGCGTCTGATTCTGAGCTCTGGGTTCGCTGCTCGGAACTGAGTGCTGAGTGCGGGCCGCTGGCGCTGACCGGCTGGACCCCCGGTGCTTCCCTGCCCTCCCTTGCAGAAAATCGACCCCGAGGTGGCCGCCTTCCTGCAGAAGCTACGCAGCCGTGTGCAAATCGGTGTGGTGGGCGGCTCCGACTACTCCAAGATCGCGGAGCAGCTGGGTGAGGGAGATGAAGGTAAGGGGCCACTCAGGAAACAGTGGGCCCAGGCAGGTGGGCGTGGGGGAGAGGGGAGCTTGCAGAGCCCTGGACCCCCCTGCTCTCAAAGTCCTATTTTTTAGGGAGAGGGGTTGCCCTAAAGAATCAAGGGAACAGCCAGATGTTCTTCCCTCCTACTGAACCAAGGAGCTACTGGGCAGGGCCCTGCCCCAGGATCTTTGCATCCCAGTTCCCCTGGCTGAGCCCTGAAAGCATCTCCTTGTAAGGGGCACAGTGGCACTTTTGCACTGTAACATGTGACCGAGGACTTAAAGCCACCCAGAGCCTGGAGCCCGCCTCTCAGTGTTCAAAACAAACACTTTTTTTTTTTTTTTTTTTTTTTTTTTTTTGCTTTTTGGGTTGGGCTGGAGCAATAGCACAGTGGTAGGGCATTTGCTGCCTTGAGAAGGGCCGGCCAGCTGAGCAAGGTTTGATTCCTCCGCGATTTCTCCGCCCCTCTCAGAGAACCCGGCAAGCTACTGAGAGTATCTCGCCCGCACGGCAAAGCCTGGCAAGCTCCCTGTGAAGTATTTGATATGCCAAAACACAGTAACAACAAAGTCTCACGATGGAGACATTACTGGGCCTGCTCGAGCAAATTGATGAACAACAGGAGGACAGTGGACAGTTGCTTTCTGGGTCACACCCGGCGATGCTCAGGGGTTCCTCCTGGCTCTGCACTCAGGAATGAGTCCTGGCGGTGCTCGGGGGACCCTATGAGATGCTAGGAATCGAACCTGGGTTGGCCGCATGCAAGGCAAACGCCCTCCCCACTGTGCTATTGCTCTGACCCCCAAAGCAAACACTTATGCCCGTCTCCATCTTCACCGCCCTCTGGGCCCAGCAGTGGCCTCCTGCTCTGTGGGCACTTTCCCTGCCCCTCTGAAGGCAGGCAGAGCTAAGAACCCCCGGAAGGGCCTTGAAGCGTGCGGAAGTGCTGCCCTCTGCTGGGCGGGTCCTGGGAGACAGGTGGGCATTGGGCTCTGCGCCCAGCAGGCTGGGACCAGCCTGCGGGGGGTGGGCAGGAGTCCAGGGGCTGGGAAAGGAGTTCTGCTGCGACCCCGGGCTCTCACCTTCCTCCTCCTTCTCCTCTCTGCGGCCCTGAAGTCATCGAGAAGTTTGACTACGTGTTTGCCGAGAACGGAACAGTCCAGTACAAGCACGGACGGCTGCAGTCCAAGCAGGTCAGTGCTGGTGTCCGAGGAGGGGGCGGGCCAGCAGTGGGCGGGGAGGCCGTGGTCACCACACTCAGGCTGCGTGCTCGCCCAGACCATCCAGAACCACCTGGGGGAGGACCTGCTTCAGGACCTGATCAACTTCTGCCTCCACTACATGGCCCTGCTCAGGCTGCCCAAGAAACGGTGAGACCCCCCCAGCCCTGGGCGTCTGCACCCCGCCCCCCCACAGCCTGCATGGTGGAAGGGAGTCCCCGTGGCCGGTCCCTGGCGTGTGCTCAGGGTGCTTGCCACCCCCCCTGCCCCGCAGAGGGACGTTCATCGAGTTCCGGAACGGCATGCTGAATATCTCACCCATTGGACGCAGCTGCACCCTGGAAGAGCGAATCGAATTCTCTGAACTGGACAAGGTGCGGGAGTCCAGCCGCCCACCCCCGGCCTTCTTTCCTCAGCACAAGCTGGGGGCATGGGGCGGGGGCTTGCTCACACCTGGCCCCTCGCTGTCCCACCTCGCTCGAGTGGGTCTCGCCTGTTAGTCCGTCGTCCGTTCCCACCTCCAGGCAGTCCTCTAGGACTGCCTCAGGCCCCCCTCCCTGGCCTTGAGGCATCCCAGGAGGTGTGTGGTGGACGGAGTGAGGGGCAAGGGGGCCCCTTTGCTGAGGCTCCAGGAATCTGGGTCCTGGGGGGAATGGGACTCACCCAAATACTCAGGGAATCAGTCGGAGAGGGAGGAGGCAAACTCGGGGCTCCTCTGCTACCCGCAGCTGCTTCCCGGTGGCTCCTCCAGGCCTTGGGGGGCCACGAGAAGGGAGAAGGTTCTCATAGGCCTATGAAGGTCTTTTTGTTTTTGTTTGTTTGGTTTTGTTTGTTTGGTTTTGGCTTTTTCGGTCATACTCAGGCAATGCTCAGGGGTTCCTCCTGGCTCTGCACTCAGGAGTTGCTCCTGGAGGTGCTTAGGGGACCCTATGGGATGCTGGGATCGAACCCGGGTCGGCCACGTGCCAGGCTAATGCCCTACCCGCTTACTATCACTCCAGCCCCAGTTTTGGTTTGCTGTTTGGGCCACACTGGCAGGGGTTCCTCCTGGCTCTGCACACAGGAATCACTCCTGGCGGTGCTCGGGGGACCCTATGGGATGCTGGGAATCGAGCCTGGGTTGGCTGCGTGCAAGGCAAACGCCCGCCATGCTGTCATCCCAGGCCTCTGAAGGTTGCTGGTGCAGAGAAGCCGTTACAGCAGGCTGAGAGCACCTACCCTGTCCCCCCAGCCCCCTGCCAGCCCACCCGCCCTCCCGGGTAGGGGTGCCAGGACCAGGAGCCTCTGCCCTCTCCTCTGGCGAGACGCGCTGGCTCACACTGACTCAGCGTCTTCTCTCATCTTTGGCTTCCGGGCACCCCACCCCAGCCGGGCCCAGTGAAGCCATTAGGCCGGAGGCCTGGCATGACCCGCTTGGGCTGAGGCTCAGTCCTGCCGGGGGGTGGGGGGTGCCCAGTGGCCCCATGGGAGATGCCGCCTCGTCTGCGTGAGCCTTGGAGGAGCTTCTGGGCCAGCTCCAGCCTTGCCGGGGCCCCTGCCTTCAGGGAAGCAAGTCCGAAGCCGCTGGGATGCCCGTCCCCTCCATGTTCCCGCGAGACAGAATTTGGGATTTCATCTTTTTCTCTTTTTGGGTTTTTGGGTCATACCTGGCTCTGCTCCAGAGTGAGCTGTGGCGGTGCAGGGGACCGTATGGGGTGCAGATCATTCGAACCAGGGCCAGCCGCAAGCCAGACACGGGCCCTACCGCCTCTCCCTGCATCCCCCCCCCCCCCCCCCCCCCCCCGTGCTGTCTGGACAGCCCCTGAGATGCCTCCACGCACAGAGATTCCGGCCAGGGCCAAAGTGGCAGGGCCTGGTCCCCACAGCTGCCGCCTCATCACCTCCTTGTCCTGGGCAGATACACACACACACACACACACACACACACAAACCATGTCTGGGAGACCCTGCGCAGACACACACACACACACACAGTGTCTGGGAGACCCTGCCCCCCCACACACACACCCCGTGCCGGAAGCCCCTTCTGTCACACACATACACACACACACACACACACACAAACCATGTCTGGGAGACCCTGCACAGACACACACACACACACAGTGTCTGGGAGACCCTGCCCCCCCACACACACACCCCGTGCCGGAAGCCCCTTCTGTCACACACATACACACACACACACACACACACCATGTCTGGGAGACCCTGCCACAGACACACATGCATGCACACACACACACATCGTGCCGGAAGCCTCTTCTGTCACACACGCACACACACCATATCTGGGAGACCCTGCGGCAGACACACATGCACACACACACACACACCGTGCTGGAAGCCCCTTCTGTCACACACACACCATGTCTAGGAGACCCTGTCGCGAGCCACCTGGTCCCCTCACCTTTCTCAGGCCTCCCTCAGATAGACTCCACACTCCTGGTGACAGGACCTGCCCTGATCCTGTCCCCTCCTGCCGTTCTCAGCCCACCTCTGCCCCCGCCGGAGCCCCGATAAAGGCCCGGCCTTCCCCAGGCCTCTCCTCTATTTCATTTTTTATTCCTGTTGTTTTTGTTTTTTGGGGCGACACTCAGCAGTGCTCCGAGTCTTACTCCTGCCTCTGTGCTCAGGGCTCACTCCCGGCTGGGTTCAGGGGACCATATGGAGTGCCGGGGATCAAATCCAGGTCAGCCACACGCAACGCAAACATCCTCTCCGCTGTGCTACTGCTCCAGCCCCTCTTTATCTTCTTTTTTTTTGTTGTTCCCGGTGGGGGGGGTCTTTGGGCCACACCTGACCGTGCTCGGTGGCTACTCCCAGCCCAGTGCTGGGGTCCCGGGCGCTGTGGGAGTCGAACCCACAGGCAGAGCGTGTGTGCAGCCCCTTGACCTGCCTGGGGCCTGGGGTGGGGGGTCCCGCTCGAAGCCTGGCACCGCAGCCCCTGAACTTGCCTGCCTGTTGCCTTCTGCAGAAGGAGAAGATCCGGGAGAAGTTCGTGGAGGCGCTAAAAACCGAGTTTGCTGGCAAAGGGCTGAGGTTCTCCCGAGGTGTGTGCACCCGCCTCCCCCGGGCCCTGCCGGGCCTCGCCTTGCTTTCTGGAGTCCTTAGGAACCCCCGCAAAACCAGAGCCTCCCTCCCTTCCCAAGTCTGGTCTAGAAGCAGACATGTCCAGAATTTCTGGAAGCCGGCCTGCTCCTCCCTCCTGCACTGCCAGCTCTGATGCCTGCCGCCCGCCCCCCAAACCCCTGCTTACTCCCCGAAGGAAGCCCCCCCCCCAGTCAGCCCACCACCGCTGGCTTCCTACCCTGGGGGAACCCCGAGAGACCCTCCAGGAGGTCAGCAGCATTGTTGCGGGTGTGGGCACGGCCCAGCTGCCCGCAGCCAGCATGTCGCCCCTCCCCACCCCCCAGGAGGAATGATCAGCTTCGACGTCTTCCCCGAGGGCTGGGACAAGCGCTACTGCCTGGACAGTCTGGACCAGGACCGCTTCGACACCATCCACTTCTTCGGGAACGAGACCAGCCCCGTGAGTGGCCCCTGGGGACGACCCCCCCCCAAGCCCATCCCACCCAGGCAAAGGGGCCGACATGGGGTGACAGAACCATGGGGAGGGCTCGGCCCCGGGTGCCAGGAGATGCTCCTCACACGCCCTCCCGGCCGGCTCTGCATGCAGGGCGGGAACGACTTCGAGATCTACGCGGACCCCCGCACCGTGGGCCACAGCGTGGCATCCCCACAGGACACAGTGCAGCGCTGCCGGGAGATCTTCTTCCCCGAGACCGCCCACGAGGCCTGAGCCGCCTCCCGCCAGCTTTGGACTTCTGGGGAATTCCCCAGGGCGCCCCCCTGCCGGGTGGAGCACCCCAGGGCCAGGACCCAGTGAGGCCCCTCCGGGTGGGCCTTGCAGCCCCGTCCCGCCCCGCTGCAGCTGCTGCGTCTGCCTTGGACCCACAGCGTCCGCACCCCCGGGAGGCGCGTGCGTCTGTGGCACCCACTGGGCCGGCGCCCCCTCGCCGCCTCGTCCTCACTGACATTAAAGCACCAGGGAAAGCAAGGTCACACCATGGCTTTGGGTGGCTTTTGTCTGCTGGGTCACAGCTGCCAGAGCCACCAGGGCAAGAGGTGGCCCGGCGGGTTCCAGAGGGCGTCCGGTCCTTGAAGGGGCAGGTACAACGGGAGTGTCCCCCTCAGACCTTCTCCCCCAGCACCCAGACAGACAGACAGAGCACCAGGCTGGGCTGAGTCACAGTTGAGGGTTTATTGCCAGTGTGGGCGGTTGGGGGGTGGGGGAAGGGGGTCTCAGGAGGGTTTCTGGGGCCTGAGCAGAACCGACGTCTGCCTCCCCCTACCCCCGTGGCCCCAGCCTGATGGTAGCCCCCTCCCCTGACTTGTGCCTACAGGGGGTTCCCCACAAGAGGGAGGCCCTGTGCCCCGGCCCTGGCGGTCTCAGCGCAGAGTGGCCAGACTGGGGAGGCCTGTGACTGGCCAGTGTTTCTGGGCTCCCAGCCCCTGCAGACGGTCACCAACCCTCATCCCGGACATCTGGACCCCAGGTCCACTCAGAGACAGGCTCTGAGGACCACTGTCCCTAGCCAGCCTCCCCAGACCCCTATTTTCTTCCTGCTGAGATGTCCCGGGAAAGGGCTGGAAGAGTGTCCCCCTCCGGCGGGCCCCCCCCACCACAAGCAAATACGGAAACGTACACGTGCACATAGACTCACACGGACACAGCTCTGCAGCCCAGCCCAGGTGGGAGGGATGCAGCTGGGGGAGACGGGGTCAGGGGGAGTGCGTGTCCGTCTGTCGCTGGCCCCGTGCTCAGGGCGGCAGAGCAGGTGAAGGGACGGCGGCATCCCCCCCCCCCCCGTTGGGGCACTACACCTTGTCTCCTAAGGGGGCAGCGGCTCAGGGAGGGCACAGCAGTGGCCAGGTGGGGGCCCCAGGCTGCTTCTCCGGGGTAGAGGGGGACCCGGGGTGGGGGAAGTCCACGGCCACCATGGATGTCCTGCTGGCCCCACTTGGGGTGCTCTGCGGGCTTCGGGGCGAGGAGGCAGCTCCCTCAGAATGGTCCCCAGGCGGGGGTCGCTGTGGCGGAGAAGCAAGCTTGCAGGGCAGATGGGACCCTCCAGTGTCCCCAGGCCCCAGTGCCGGGCTTGACATCATTTGTGAGCGGGTTGGCGGGAGGGGTGGGGTTTTGGGGATCCTGGGGGGTGCGGAGACGGAACACGACAGGATTTGGGGTCGCCCCGGCCCCGCTCACAGGAACCGTCACAGGTCACGGGGTCGAGGGCGGCGCGTGAGCACGGACAGACGGGCAGACGCGCATACAGGGAGGGGGCCCGGCGCCCCAGCCTAGGACCCCACCACCTGGCCCGACCACGTCTCGTGCGGCGTGTGCGGCGCCAGCTGCGTGAGCACCACCTCCACGGCCTGGAACTTCTGGTTCTTGGGCGGGATCAGGCACATCTTGTAGGTCACCTCGTCACCCTCCACGGGCACGTACTCACCCTCGATGCTGACGAGCAAGAGAGGGGCGTCGGCTGGCCGCACCCCTGCGCCCCAGGCAACCCGCCCCTCTGTGCCGCTTTGAGGGTGCAGCAGAGGCCCTGGGTGAGGTCTGAAGAGCACCAACAGCAGTTTGGATACTGCCAAGCCTGGTGTGACCCCCAGTGCCATGTGTCCCCAGTCCTCAGCTCTGCTGGGGATAAGCCAGGAAGGGCCTGAGGTGGGTCCAGCATCCTGCCCTGAGGGAGCTTCTGGGACTTCTTTTTTTTTTTCTTTTTGGGTCACACCCGGCAGTGATGCTCAGGGGTTACTCCTGGCGCTGCACTCAGGAATCACACCTGGCAGTGCTCAGGGGACCCTATGGGATACCGGGGATTGAACTTGGGTCGGCTGCATGCAAGGCAAACACCCTCCCCGCTGTGCTGTCGTTCCAGCCCCTCCTGGGGCTTCTGAGTGCCCCCTCCTCACTGGCCCCAGCATCCCCCCGCCCTGCTGGGAGGAGGGGAAAGGGGCAGCGCGAGGGCCTTACTCAGACACGTGCACGAAGATGTCCTCGGACCCGTTCTCGGGCGTGATGAAGCCGTGGCCCTGGGAGCGTGAGAACTGCTTACAGACGCCCCTGAACACCGGCCCGGCCGACGCGCGGGCGGTCCTGAGGAGAGGTGGGGGGGTTGGCCGCTGCCTGGGGGTGCCCCTATGGCCATGGTGCAGAGGCTGCCCCCCAGGCCCCCTGCTCCTCACATGCTACTCACAGTCACGCTTCTGAGGCCTGGCCTGGCTGGCTCACCACATGTCTGTGAAAGCCTCCACTTGGCTCCCCACCCCCAGGCCGTCCCAAAGGCCAGGCTGCCTCGGTCCACTTCCCCCACCAACCACCCCCAAAGGGCCACCCTGAGGCTCAGCTTCCACCCAGCTTCTGGGTTTTCCTTCTCCCAGACCCGGCAAGACCCCCAGCCGCATCATCTCATGCCCAAGCCTGGACTACACCCCGGCCCTGCTGAGCCAGACTCAGCACACCCCTGCTGGGAGTGACAGAGGGGACTGACAGAGGGGACGGGAGGAGTAAGAGAGGGTGAAAGTGAGGGACGAGGGACGGAGAGAGGGAAGGAGGGAGGGGGGAGTGAAGGAAGGACAGAAGGACGAGTGAAGGAGGAAGTGAGGAAATGAGTGAGGGAGGTGTGAGTGAGGGTGTGAATGAGTGAGGGTGTGAGTGAGGGAGGGTGTGAGTGAGCAAGTGAGGGTGTGAGAGAGGGAGTGAGTGGTGTCACAGGGGGTCTGTGCCCAGCTCCCCCACGCCCGCCTGTCCTCAGGCCAGTGGCTGGGGTGGGCGCGTGTCCCTGGCACCGTCGGGGTGGGTACTCACGCCGAATACGTCCTGGTCCTCTTGGTGGGCAGCGGGCTGGGCAGGTCCCTGGCGGAGACGCCGCCGCGCTCCCAGACCCGGCTGCCCTCACGGTGGAAGGGGAAGGTGGGCCAGACAGGGGACTTGGGGGAGTGCAGCGGGGGCACGACAGGGGGCGAGGTGGGCTCCGACGTCATGGTGGGGCCTGGTGGGGAGGCGGCGGGGCTCCCAGGCGTGGGGGGCGGGGGGCTCGCGCGTCCTTGAGGGCAGGGCCCGGCCTGGCCCTGCGCGCCAGCTCCAGCCACCGACTCCGTCTGCAAGGAGAGAGGCCAGCTGAGGGGGCCGTGGGGCACTGCCAGCCTCCTGGTGGCTCCACACAGACAGGAGGGACCCCAGGGGCTGAGCTGTGCACCCCAAGGGTCGTGTGAGTCCCGCTACAGCTCTACCAGGCTGGGAGCTGGGAGACTTGGTGGTCCAGTGGGTAGTGCTGTTCGGAATAGTTTGGCACCATTGTTAACATTAACTTTTCTTTTTTTTTTTTTTGTCTGATTTATTTGGTTTGGGGGCCACACCGGCAATGCTCAGGGTGTAGCCCTGGCTCGGCACTCAGGAATTAACTCCTGACAGTGCTCTGGGGACCAAATGGAGTGACAGAAATTGAACCCAGGTTGGTGTGCTCAAGGCAAGCGCCCTACTCACTGTACTATCTCTCTGGCCCCTGTTTTATTATTTTTTATTTATGTTGCATGTGGTGGGGGTAGTTCTTGGGTCACACCCAGCTTGGGTGCTGTTCCTTTCTCTGCTCAAGGAATGGAACTGGGGTCGGCCACATGCAAGGCGGACACCTTAACCCCTGTACTATCTCTCGGGCCGTGTTAGCTGTTTCATTACACTATGGGGCTACCCCAAGTGTGCTCAGCAGAACAAACTACTCTGACCGTGCTCAGGGGACCACAAATAGTGCCAGGCCTCAGGCTCAGGCTTAGATTGGCCACATGCAAGGCAAACACCTACCCTGCTGTTCTCTCCCTGTTGGCTGTTCCATAGAACAGGGCCTGGATGTTGTCATTATAAGTTGGTGGCAAGTTAGCCACCTCACGCGAGGCAAACGCCCTACCCACTGTACTATCTTTCCGATTTTTTGTTCTGTTTTGGGGTTTTTTTTTTTTTTTTTTGCCTTTTTGGTTCACACCCGGCAATGCACAGAGGTTCCTCCTGGCTCTGCATTCAGGAATCACTCCTGGTGGTGCTCAGGGGACCTTATGGGATGCTGGGAATTGAACCCGGGTCAGCTGCGTGCAAGGTAAACACCCTCTCCGCTGTGCTATCGCTCCAGCCCCCCAATTCGTGTTTTGTTCATTTTTTTTTTATTTGAGGGGCCACGCCTGATGGTACTCAGGGATCACTTCTGGCAGTGCTGGAGGACCATATGGGGAGCGGGGGGTTGAACTCGGGTCGGCCGCAGCAAGGCCAACGCCTTATCTTCCAGTCCTTCATTGGCCAACGCTCTTAGCCTCTGACTCGGCCCCTTCTGTGTGAGATGGGGGCCGGTGTGCTGAGAGGAGCAGTGAACAGTTTCCTCAGCACAGGCTGGTGAGCTCTGATGCTGGGGACTTTCCCTCAGCCTCCTCCCTCTGCTCTGAAGTGAAGGGCCAGAGAGATCACATGGTGGGGAGGGCGCTTGCCTTGCGTGCTGCTGACCCAGGTTCAATTCCCCAGAAGCCCATATTACTCCACCAGGAGAAATTTCTGAGCAGAGCCAGGAATAAACCCTGAGCACTGCTGCCAGGTGTGGCCCCAAAACCAAACAAACAAAAGAAAAAATGAGGGGGCTGGAGTGATAGCACAGCAGGTAGGGCATTTGCCTTGCACGCCGCTGACCCAGGTTCGATTCCCAGCATCCCCTGAGCACTGCCAGGAGTAGTTCCTGAGTGCAAAGCCAGGAGTAACCCCTGAGCATCGCTGGTTGTAACCCAAAAAGCAAAAAAAAAAAAAAAAAAAAGAGAGAGAAGTGAGGTGGAGAGCACTGCGGCAGGAGGACTCGGGATTAGGAGATTAGGAATGAGAGCAGCTGGCACCTCCAGACTTCTGCAATTGTGTGTACCAGGGCTCCTCAGCACAGCCCACAGTCGCAGCTCAGGGGGGACAAGCTTCCCCCTGGGCCCTGGACCAGGCCGATGGGCCAAAGGACAGACTCCATCCCATCCCCAGCACCTCCGAGTCCCCTGAATCCTCCCGGAGCACTAAGCTGGGAGTAGCCCCTGAGCACACCTGGGCGCTGCCCCCAAACCAAACTAAGCCAATGGACTCATTCGCCACCTCGCTAAAGCTGAGAGCAGGAAAGGACCCAGCGGCGGAAACTTGCTTTACTTGCATGTGTGAGGCCGTAGGTTCGATCCCCAATGTCGCATGCATGCATGCACACGCACGCGCGCGCGCACACACACACACATACACACACACACACACACACAGAGCTGGTCACATGGGGTGACAGGTTCCCCCCTTCCTCTGAGCCCCTGCGGTCAGACTCTGCGCTGCTCTATTTCTGGCCTCTGTCCTGGGTTTCCAGGGAGAGTTAAGGTGGGCGCCAGCGCCCCGCCCGCCCAGCTGAGGGCCCTTGGAGACGCAGAAGCAGGTCTTGGCTGCCAGCTCGCAGCAAGTGGGATTTTTCTGGGTCATGATGATAGCCACAGCCCCCCTCCCCCACAACCCAGCCAGCACTGCAGGGTAGGGCTGTCTGCTCGGTGTCCCCCCGGTCAGTGAGGGGTTTCCTCTGCTCCGAGCCCCCTGTGGAAGGCCTGGCCTCGGGGAGGAGGAATCACGGGAGTGTGCCTGGCGGTCCTGGCCCCGTTGTCTGGGAGCGACCCCTGGCCAGAGGTCCCCGAATGTCACCGGGTAGTAGCAGCAGCTGGTGGGTCTCAGCTAGCAGGGGTCCAAAGTGCAGACCCCCTGGAACAGGCTACAATCCTGAGGCTGCAGACAGGGCAGGTTTCCTGCTGGGGTGTTTGACCCTGGGGACCAGGGAAGGGCTGGCGGGGATCCAGCACACAGAGCCCCTGAGCACTGCAGAGAGTGCCCGAAAAATTAAAAGCAGAAACAGAGGTGGGGCTGGGAAGATAGCACAGTGGAGAGGGCATTTGCCTTGCACGCAGCCAACCCGGGTTCTATCCCCGGCATCCCATATGGTCCTCCGAGCACCGCCAGGAGTCATTTCTGAGTGCAGAGTCGGGTGTGACCCCCTGAGCATTACTGGGTGTGACCCAAATTAAGAAAAAAAAATAAATAACCAGAAGTTGGAGTGATGGCACAGCAGGGAGGGCGTTTGCCATGCACATGGCCGACCCAGGTTCAAGGCCCAACACCTGAGCACTCCCAGGAGTGATTCCTGGGTGCAGATCTAGGAGTTACCTCTGAGCATTGCTGGGTGTGACCCAAAAACAAAAAAATAAAAACAAGAAAAGGCAGACAGGAGCAGAAGTTGGAGGGGACAAGGACAGTGAAGGCGCTAATGGCCCCGGGTCAGATCCAGCCTCTTCTCTGCCTTAGTTCATGCGCCGCCCTCAGCCTCAGTTTCCCCATCTGTCAGTCTGAGGACGGGCTGCTCTCCGGCTGTCTCACCTGGCCCAGCTCTCCCTGTCTCTGGGCTCCGGGACCCTGAGACTCTGCAGCCAGGAAGCAGTGAGTGAGGACAAAGCATCGCACTGGGAAGGGTGATTCTCCCTGTTAGCCGGTGACCCTTGGGTTGGGCTCCCAAGGACCCCCAAAACAGACCAGGGCTCTTGACCTTTCTGTCCTCGGAGGCAGATCAGGACACGCAAACTGGCTCCAGCCCCTGTGCTGTGCCCATTCTGTGTGACCTGGGCCCAGTGTCTGTACCACTCTGGGCCTCACTTTTCAGCTGGTGCCACTGAGACGATTAAGGGTCCACTGGACAGTCCCCTCAGGTGGTTAGAACACAGAAGGAAGCAGAATAGCGGCCTGGAGGAGATGCCCTGCCACTGAGCCACTCCAGCTAGGACCTTGATGGCCCGACAGGGACGTGCTTGGAGGACCCGTTGCTCTGCCCATTGGTTGTCACGATGCACCCTGCGCCCAGCTCCCCACCGAGTCCTCCGCCACCCGCCTCCATCGCCACCACTACCACCCCATTCTGCAGAAAGGAAAACTGAGGCCCAGAACAGTGGTAAGGCCGGCTTGGTGCTCCCAGCCCAGGAGATGTTGGATTTGGGGGCCCAGTCCTCGGGAAGAAGAAAAGGGAAAGTAGTGCCAGGGGCAGGCAGGGAGACACGGGCGCTGGGCCCGGGCGGTGGGGGTTCTGTCCCAGGCTCGGTGCTGACTCAGACTGTGACCCTGGATGAGTCACTCACCAACCCAGGCTCACAGAAAACCCCCAATAAAGCATCCCGGCCCCCGCCAGCTGCGGGGGATCCAGGGATGGGGGTGCCGCGCGGGGGGTGGTGGAAGGGCCTTCTGGACGCGGAGGTCTTGCTCGAGGGGGGCCTGGCAGGGCAAGAGAACAACCCGGATGTCCCCGTTCCCAGGCCCTCCCTCCCCCCCACCTCCCAGAGTTTCCAGAAATGCACCAGGGCCTGAGCAGAGCCGGTGACCTGGTTAGACCTGGGGCTCCCTCCCCCGGCGTGCTGGAGGGGGCGGCCTGGCCAATGGTGAGCCTCGTGGAGACCCTTGTCCCAAGCCTGGGTGGGGCCCCCTGCCCTGCAAGGGGACCCTTCGGGCTTCTTGGAGTCTTTGGGACAGGGAGGCTGTGTGACCCAGGGGCTGGTTCCTTTCCTCGGAGCAACCTGGAACGGGCTTGATGACAGAGCCGGACCCAAGTCAGGTGACCCCCCCAAGCTGTCCACTCTGTCCATCTTTTCTCTGGCCCTAGGGCTGGGGAAGCCCCTACCACCACCACCCCCAACCCCTCTTGCTTTGCATGGAGAAAGCCTAGAACTGCCCCCATGCCGTTCCCACCAAGCTTGGGGTCCTGCCTGCAGCTTGGGACCCCGAGCGCCCTCTGCTGGCGCCACTGTCGAGGGGAGGGGGGGAACCAGCCTTAGGGGCCTCCCCTCCCCACTCCGGACCATTTTGGGGACCCCCCCATATGCCCCATGCATTCTGCTGACTCTGTGGGGCGGGGGGGGAACCTCTGTGTCCACACTGTCCCCAGCCCAGTCCCAGGAGTCTTCTCTGGCGGGGACAGCAGCTGGGTGGGGGGGGGGGGGTGGGGAGGGGG